TCAAATTCATTATTTAAGTAAATTAAACATTAGTTTCATATTTGCAGTGAAAGTATTTAATTTCTACAAGTATCATCAGCTTATCACAAGTTTTTTTCCTTTACTAATTACACTTAAAATTTTATAATGATGCATATATACTAAAATCTAAGAATTGAGAGAATTTTGGTGGCATAAGAAGTCTTCCTTTCTTGCCCCATTTTATTAAACTTAACTGTGAAGAGCTCAGGATGAAGGATCTTTGAGCAGACGGGTTGTTTTACCGCTGCTAGCTTGTGAACACCGGCCACAAATCTAGAAGCTGCGATCTTAAATCCGAATTTGTTTTTTCACTTGTTAAATGTAGCGTTTAGTATGACCACACTTACCCTGTGTCACATGAGAAAGAGATGGACGCGCCGAATAATATGCCGTCTGGTATAATGACACGACCATTTTTTATTTCTCCAGGACTAGGACATGGTTTCTCTAGAAGAGAATACAAATTGATTTTTCTCATTAAATTATCAGGCACACCTATGTAAATTCATCATCTGAACTACTGATATTCCTTCTCTGTAGACTATTTAAATCCTACCTTCATTTCCCCAGTTTCAAAATTTCAAAACTTCAAAATTTATTTAGAATATAAACTTATTTCACTTTAGGTAATCTTAAACTAATTAAATGTGAAGCTAGTGAGTAAATTAATATTCCTATCTCACAGGGATTTAGCTTGTCTAATTTAAAATAAAATGGTTCTAATGGTTCTTTTAAGAATCATTCTAAATGATGTACTCAGACTTCTGCTATGCATGAAGGAAGAAACTCTTATTTCCCCAAATACCAAATGGTTAAGAATACTCTTTAAAATTATACTCACTTTTACAAAATTCAGCGGGTTTGGACCATGTAAAATCCTGAAGGCAAGTTAGGTTTCCTGACAGAGACTGGTCCCTTCTGTAGCCCCTACGGCACTCATATTCCACAGTGGAACCCGCTGGGAAATAATTCTGTTTGCTGTAATACTTTTTGAGTGACGCAAAAAGTAGCCTGGTTGGGACAACACAGCTACCTAAAAGTATTAACAACAACAACAACAACAACAAAATTAATAAAAGTAACAACAAAAAAAACCCACTTTCTTTTATAACCTATGTTTAATTATCTGGTCCTTACATCACTC